TTTAAAGAATTTTTTAAAAAATTATTATAATAAATTTTTTAAAACTTAAATTTAAAAATTAAATTATTTAAAAAATAGCTGTTTCTAAACTTAACCATGATTATAACAATCATTCAGTTATTTAACCAGTTGATATAGTGTTATAACCACATATATATAGTTATTACACTACTGGATCAAATTTCACGTGACTTATAAAATTTGTGTGCAAAACATTGCTGTGAAGAAACATATTAATTTTTGATGTACAGAGGGTAGACAAAAATTTCTAGACACCTTTATAAATGTGATTTAAAAAATTTTCATCATATAATTGTCATACCATACTGCGATCATATGACTGTCTATTGTTTATTTATATAATCAAAATAAAAAAATTCGTTTTTATTGTTGTTTTGATTTAATTCACTTAATCTCTACCAAATCAAAAAATAATAGAACAAAATAAAGAATTAACCAAAGAACAACGTGGAGCCATATTTTACTTAGCCAGTCCAAAGTCCTGATCTTAACCCAATTGAAAATTTATGGGCTGATATTAAAAAAAACATTTATGCATATTTAAAAATCATCATTGAATCTTACTGATCTCGACCGATATGTTAAAAAGGCATGGCGAGAAATTCTGATGCATACTATTGAAAATTTAGTCAATAGCATACCACAGCGAATTCAAACTGTGATTGCAGCAAAGGGAGGCCCAACCAAGTACTAAAAGTTTAATATGAAATGTATGCTTTAACCAGCTCCAAATAAAATAATATTAGAACTTTTACTATTAATGCTAAGGAATTATAAGTTTTATATTTGGTGAAAAAGTGTCCAAAAACTTTTGTCCACCCTCTGTAAAATGTAATAAAATTTTATTTTTCTTTAAGTATACTTTCTATAATAAAATTTGTGTTACTTATATAATAAATCTTTATATTACTTATTACAATTCTTTTAATAATAGCCAATTTCATTATATTTTTTACATTTTTGTTATTCATGTTCATGAATTATTCTAGTTACACTTGTTTTTACATAATTAGATGAATCTTGTTTAACAATTTGGTTAATATTTATAAGTTCTTTTAAGGGCCTTTTATTTTTATCAATTTTCCAAAACAAATGATCTAGGCGAAAAAATATATAAAAGAAAAATCAAATTCTAAAATAAATAATCTAGACGAAAAAAATATATAAAAGAGAAATCAAATCTCAAACAAATGATGTAAGCGAAAAAAAATATAAAAGGGAGATCAAATCCTAAAATATATAAACTAGGCAAAGAAAATATGTTGAAAGGGTGATCAAATTTCAAAATATATGAACTAGGCGAAGAAAATGTATTGAAAAGGTGATCAAATCCTAAAATATATAAATCATATGAAGAAAATATATAAAATGCTAGGCCTCCTCCCTCTCAATTTAACAACCTTAAGTCTCTCCTTTGAGGGAATTTAATATAACTAAAAAGAATGGTTTAACAACTTCCATATTCTAATACTAACCCTAACTCTAACATAATGAAATAAATGGTTTAACAACCTCTATACCCTAATCCTAACCCTAATATAAATGAAAAAAATGGTTTAATAACCTTCATACCCTAACCCTAATCCTAATATAAATGAAATAAATAGTTTAACAACCTCTATACCCTAACACTAATACTGACCTTAACCCTAACCCTAACTCTAAGCTACTTCAAAGCTAAATTTACTATAATTTAATATTGTAATTCAAAGCAAAAAATAAAATACACCTATATCAATGTCTGAAGAGTTATTAACAAAAATCTGCTCAAATTCATTCATAATAAAATTTATGATTAAAAAGGTATATGAAATAAAGGCAATAATTAAATTTTTTAAAAAAATGTTAAGGCAAATAAAGTAAATGAGAAAGAAAATTTGAGAAAGGATTAATAAGATAGATATTCAGAATTATGTTATTTTATTAGTCTATTTTCGTCATATGATTAAACACATGATTTTCAAAAAATTCAAAATTCAAAATTTTAAAATTCAAAAATTCAAAATTCAAATTTATATAGGTGATAATAATCAGTGGTTAATCATAAATTTTCCCTTAAAAAATAGCTTATAAACTTAAAATTTCTTCTAATAAAATTAATAAAATATATATTAAATTATATTTTTCATATAATTATTATATTACTAAAATTAATATTTAATATTTTATTAAAAAAAAAATAACACATTTTTTTAAGTTTGCAGGTAAATTTGCCTACTAGATAATCTAAAAGATAGGTTAAATTAATAGAGAAAATTTTGATATATTAGCAATAATATATTATGTTAGATTGTGATTTTCTTGAATGTTAATTTGTAATGAAATTTCTGAATTAATCATAATAAATAGCATTCAGAAATAACTTTAACTTTGCATAAATGCATATTATTTGAATTTTTCAAATTTTTGAATAAATTATAATTTTCATACAACTTCTAATATTATCACATAATCATTGACAAGTATTTTCATTCCTTGAACAGTACATAACCCAGTGAGTAATTCATTTCTTTTGAAGTTAGTACTAGAATATCATCAATGTGATTTGTAGATTCTTTGTTTCTGATATAGTTGTCAATTCTAAATAATTAGCAGCATTTTGAATACGCTCAATAGTTAAAATTCCAATTTTAACTAATGTAGGTGTAACTTGTCTGTTTTGCTTCTTTAACCAGCAAATTTTTACATTTTCTAAATACCATTCAGCAGTTCAACCAAATAGCATATTTACAGAACCATCATTATTATATTTTATTTGTTCTTTATAAGTTTGCATATTAAAAAAAAATATTAATTAAATGTGTTACAAGTGTATTGATGAAAATTGAAGAAAATAGAAAAAACATAACTAAATAAGTATATATATAAGTGATATATTAAGAACTTATGCTAAGTGTAAAGAGAATAAAGAAAAAATGTGTAAAGAAAACAAAGAAATAATGTAAGAGAAAACGCGTAAAAGAAATGAAAAAAGTGTGACACTAAAATTTATATACTATATATACTGATTAAGATTTACGTGATATTGTCGAATTTAGGTATTTAATTAATCAAAAATGCCACGAAATTTGTACAACCAACTTTATAATCAAAAAAGACAGCCCTTAATCAAAAATGATCCATTTGATTTTTTAATTTAAAATTCAAATCGACATTTTTAAATAGAATTTGTTTTATTTCAAAAAATACATTAAAGAAAATCTTTGTAAAATTTTATGATTCATGTTTTTGCATTTTGGATCAAAAATATTTAATTTCCATAATATCTAAAGAAAAAAAAATTATTGAGGAGAAGGAATTAGACACGAGATCTAAGTAAGAATGTCATTATGCAATCACTAATCGTCTCATGTAAGGGCAGTAGAATGAAATTCCATTTGCTAATGCAGAGGAAAAAAATTATTTTCGCACTGGGAAGATATGTATATTCGGAAAATGAGAGAGAAGAGCTTTATCGATAATAACAGGGAAAACCACCTTAATGTTTTACTTTTGTTATGTATTATATGTTGCAAATTAAAAAAATTCAACGCGTGAGGATACTTCTTTAAAGGATAATATAACACATCACTGTTTCTTTATTTATTTTACATAAGATTAATTAATAATTATGAATATTTAGCTATAACAAATAGACCAAATTTAAAAAGCGAACATGAAATACAATTTGCAAAAATTACATTTATGTTTTATACACAGAATATTATTTCCTGATCAATGTAAGGATGAAATTCATCTTAAAAATATAATTTAACCTTAAGCATGCTGTTAAAGTCATGTTAATCTTACAAAGGTTGACACCATTGGTGTTGGATGCTTGTTTGACTGTTTACAACGTAACTTACTAGTTAAATGTTCCTACTGCCAAATTGAATTATTTGGATATTTAATTAACAGCAGGTAATCATAAATCCAGTTAGTCTACTTTCATCTGCAAGTATCTAAAATTTTTAATGGTTTATCCGGCTCATGTATGTAGGCCATTTGATCTATAGTTGCCTGGCAAAACTTATTTTAGCAAATAGCAAAAGTCGAAATCCTATATTTCGACGAATTTGTTAATAAGTATATAAAATAGTTTTGACTTTTGACAGGATTTTATTATGGTTTATGGTTTCGAGTTTCAACGGGTTTGCCAATAAGGTTTTATTACAGTTTTGTCAATGATCCCATCGAAATCCGAAAGTTTTTCCAGGCAACTATAATTTGATCCGAAATATTATTACTGACAAGAACAGTTGTAGTTGTCACCAATTGACACCTCAAAACATTTGAGATGCAAAATGTTGTTTTGTAGGCTCCCCATAGCCTACGGCAGTTGCTTTAACTGTACTCCATCCCTTTCTCCTAAGCGTTCTTTTAACATAATGCAGTAATATTGTTTGTGAAGCACCTGTATTGACCACACACAAATACATTTTGTTGCTGTCTTGTACGTCAATAAAATCATATAGAAGAAGAACAATTAAACTTTCATTGGGTCTTCTAACACGAACTCTGACCTTTATTTAAAAAATTTATTTAATTAACTTGAAGTTACATGAATTTATACTAAATTTCATAATAAAATAAAATTATTCTCTAAAAATTATAAGTCAAGTACTAATTCATACCTTGTAATCGTTACCATTATTAGTACGATGAACTATCACCATCTTTATCAGTGGATTATGTGGCAAACATGTCTGATAAACTTGAAGTTGAACAGCACTTGGTATAGCATCGAAAACAGAGGTCAATTTATCATCATCATACCTCTGTCCATATTCGATTACCTTCTGTTCGTATACTGTCACTCACTCATTTTCATGTTCAATAAATTCATCTCTGTTAAGTGTGTCATAGAAGAATATAGTGTTAAACCCAACTTCAGCATCGAAGTCAGGCCCATCTTCAGCGATGTCATAGAAGGCATTTTCTCTAAGGTCATTTGGCATTGAAGAGGGCCACCTAAAGTCTTTGTTAAATCGAGCTATAAATAGATTGATTACATCATAACAATACATGTTTTGCCACTATACCATTTAAGAACATAAAGAAAACTCTCTTATCAAAAAACCTTTGCATTTGACCAAGTCTTTTCTCATACTTTAAGAGAATTTGAATCGTTTCGGGCTGATTAGCTTGAATTCTTTGAATTACATTATATAGAGTATAAAGTCTAATCAAAAGTTGATCAATATTAGTATATGATTTTCACAGATATATGTATTTATTATATTATTCGTAAAAAAAATTATACCCAATAAACGGGAACCAAATAGGTAAAAGCGCACAAATTATAAAAAGTAAAGGAAGGAATAAGAAAGGGAATACAAAAGGAAACAAGATAACAAAGCAAAATTTTGTAGTTTTTTCGTGACAGGAACGTTATCTTGATTCATTATTAGAAGCTTTGAGGAACTAGCAACTTTAGATATGATTTTTTGGTTAAAAAGGAGAAAAAAATTTTTTTTTTTTTTAATATATGAGAAATCAATTTGTCGTGGGTTTATGTAGTTATATATTTACTATTTTACATTTAGCTACTAATGATCAATATTCATTATATCAATAGTCATTGTTGCATAATTATAGATATTAAAATGTAGATCTTTTGAAAGTTATTCCCATTCAATCTAACAATTCAAAAAATTTGTTATTTATTGAAAATTATATAATTAAAAAATTTTTAATTATTTAATAAAAAAAAAAATTAAATTAAAAATATTATTAAATATTTTTTTCATAATATGAGAGGTGGTCAGTAGAAAAGGGAGAAATCTACTTTTTAGTCAAAAATATTTTTATTTGTTCACTTTGCTGATCATAATCAAAACTAGCTTAATAACTAAAATTACTCAAAATTTGTAAGTTTCCTCCTTTTCTATTAATCGCCTCCCATATGTAATAGTATTTACTGTATAATCATCTTTGCAATAGAAAAGAGGAAAATAGACAAAAAAAATCAATTTTACTTTTATATATTAAATATGATTTTTAGATCAAAATATGTTTAGATTTAACATTAACTCATTTTTTATTTTTCCAGCTATTTCTCCTTTTTTTATTGCAAAGATCCCATATTATCAAGGTCCTATCATGACCTTTGTGATATCAGTAATTGAATGAATAACTAATATCTGTGATAAGAAAAAATTTTCTTAAAATGTATCTACTCTTATTTTACCTATACTTTCAAAAGAACGTTAAATAGATTACATATTACTAATAATAAATAAACTTTCTTAATAATCTTTTTTTCCTTTTCTAAAAATATACATAATACACAATTTAATATTTATTAAAATAATTCACATTTTCAATTTAAACATCTAAAAATATACAGTAGAAATAAAAAACATAATTAATTTATCAATATAAATAAATATAGAAAAATAATAAAAAAATGAACTTATTATTTTAAAAACTTTTAAATAAAACATATTATTATAATATTAAAATATTATTGCAGTAAAAAATATCAAATGATCTATAAATTTATGATATCTTCAAGATTTTATAATTTAAAAATAAAAATTAATGGATTTTTATAAAAAATTTGAGATTATAATTTGTAAAATTTTCAAATTAAGAATTATTAATCACAATATTTATACTTCTTAATATTAACAATAAAAAAATAAATAATAATATTTAATAAATGCTAAGATATTAACGTTAACTTTTATTTAAGTTTTATTTAATCATGAATATTTTAATATTTAAAATTTTTAATTAATATCTATTATATTAATATTAATTATTATTCAAAAAATATCAATTTTAAATATTATAAAATAAATCATAAAATTAAATAATTTTCTATATAATTTTTAAAATGATATATATTTTAAGTATTACAAAATATTAAAATTTATTTAATATTTTAATAATAATATTTTTTATTATATTAGAAATATAAATTATTTAAAAGAAAAAATAAAAATAAAAATTTATATCATTCACTATAGTTAGCTACTTTAACAATTAATGTATATTACATAAAATTATAATATAATTATTTAATAAATCTAGTGATATTGAAATTGTGTAATAAAATTTTTAATTGAATAAAGTATTAGTAGTGATCTGAAATTACATTACTAGCTTATACTACTTATATTTATATAAATTTTCTATTACATATAATAAAAAACTTAATCAAATTATATATGTTAATAATAATGATTATTGATAATTTTAATAAAAAGTATCTGATTAGATACTTATTAAAATTAATATTATTAGAAAAAGTATAATATTATTATTAAAAATTAATATTAAGCTTAATGTACTAAAAAAGTTAAATTCAGTTAAAAAAAAATAAGATCATTAATATAATAGAAAGAGTTTTATATAAGAATATTATTATTAAATATTAGATATCAACAAATATTATCTTTTAGAAATAATATAAATATATATTATAAATATTTTTTTGAGTAAATTTTTTTATTATATCTGTGATATATCACCTTTTAGGTAAAATTATATAATTTTTAGGTATGACCATCCCATATAAGGAAATTATTACACAATTTAATAAATTTTTTTTTATATATTTTATAATACTTTTTTAAGAGATTTACACATCGCATTTCTTGTAATGAAACGTGATTAAGTATATTTAGCAAATTTGAAGCTCTTATAGTAAAGTGTAATAATATCTGTTGAATCCTCTTGAATCTCACAACTTTTATATTACTATTTATCTAGTGAAATATGTCTGAAACGAGAAAATGTTGCATAGAATACTAGATTTCTGAGTCAACTAAATTTTGTTTGTTAAACAGAAAAAAATGAAAAGAAGTCGAAAGCAACAATTTAATGAAGGTAATATAGATGAAAGGCGTTATTTTATGCAACATATGTTATATGTGATGTGTAGAAAATCCATTAAAAAGAGGTCTTAAATAAGTAAAAGTCTCAACAGAAGAGGAAGCAGAAGCTATAAGTGAGGAGAAGATAAGTATAAAAGTTAATCTTATCAGAGCTATCAAATAATAACAAAAATCTTATACGATAGAGAACATTTCAAGAAAGAAGGTCCCATATATGTATTTAATGAATTGCGAGAATTACTTAAAGGGATTGAACTGAGCCTAAAGAACTTTTTTGATCAACTTATTTCAGCATCTCAACCATGTAAGCATAATGATCAAATGATAAATTGTATGAAAAATTGATAGTGTTCATATGCTATCTCCTTGCTTCATTAAACAATACAAAAATTAATTCTTTTAAGTTTGATCTTGCATACTATTTAAATTCAGTAGATATAAGCAACAAAGGCTTAAATACAATAGCAAACCTTGGTATGACTACAACAGTGAGAGCAATAAATCGTAAGAAGAAAAGAATATCAGATGCATATAGAAAATATGTAAATAATTCTTTCATAAAATATTCAGAAAATACCTTTGTGTTGAATGTTAATGATTATCATAACATTTATACTCAAAGGTGATCTGATACCATGAGTACATCTTGGATGATGCATATGGTAACAATTATAGCAAATCTATATCTCATACTGGTGATACCATGTAATAGAGTAATCAATCCAAAAGTCATTAATAATGAAATGATTGAAAGGTATCTTAATATGCGATTTATTATAAACCTTAGGATTTTTTATCATAATCGTAGTCATATACTGGATTATGCAGGTAAGGATTGTTCTGATGATAGCTCTTAGATAGGTTAACATTGTATAGTTACAATGACAGATTAGTGAAAAAAAAAGGTAAGAGACATGTGCAGAATGCTATCCTCATCGACTTCATTGAAAGCAATCTGAAAAATGTGAAAGATTATACAAAGCTCTTCAGAATGTGCATGATCAAAAACTGATGCAAGCATATCTCTCTAATTATATGATTCCTATTGTTGCAGACTGGCCTGATCAGCTTTATTATTTGCAAGGCTATTGCATAACAGCTTCTTGCTAACAATAAGACTATTCCTCCATTTATTATGTTATTTTTGCTAATCCTAGGTCTTCTTCACATATCGTTAAATGCCTGTGAACTCATTTTCTTAAAAACTTATTTTTATTTAGATATTTACAAAGGTATATTCAGATCGTATAAGGATCTTGATAAGAAGCCACAACCATGAAGAATCAATCTAATTCTTCATATTATACACATAGCATAGCTTGACATCATCAATGTTATTTATTTAAAATTTGGTCATACATGCAAGAACATTGAATTTTTATATTTAACCGACATGTTCAGCAATTTAATTCCATTAGTTCTTGACATTTATGCGATACACTATCAGGAAGAAAATTGGACAGCTTACGAAGAGGCTCGCATATACTGTTAAAGCGATCTTTTCTTTTAGTTTGATCGAAGAAACTATAAGCGAGCTCCTTTAATATTTTTCTCTGACATTTTTTATTAGATGGAAACTAATCATCCAATAATTAGTATGTTTATTAATAACCTTGCTTCAATAAGTGATTGTTCTGTAGAAATTGGTTACAGCATTATTCGCTAACGTACTGTTAAGTTTTCTATAGCTAAACAATTATGAAAGGAAGCGCACTTTATATTTCAGCACTGAGAAGATAATATTTTTCGATAACATTTTGTGAATTCTGTAAAATATCTATATATACCAAAGCAATTGCACATGCTTTTAAAGAAGTATGCTATATTACTTTTAGATATATTTACGAAAATATATCAAATTTGTGATCAGTATTCTTTAGTTGTTAAATCTTCATCCGATAATATTAACACATATAACTTTCTTTACTAGGATATAAGATAACTGATTGTTATCTTCCAAGAGGCTTGTTACTTCCAGAAAACTAAATACTGCTATACTATGCGATTATATACACTGTGATGGCAATTTGCATAATGACAACATTCTGGCATGTAACCATGAGTATCATATATTTGCTTGCAGAAGAGTCAGTTTAAATGTCTTATATGTTTGGATTATTTTTAAAGAGAGGTTAAGAATAATATCGATGCATTTATGACAAGTTTAATGAAGAAAAGAAAAG